GGAAGGGATGGGAGAGAGGCTCTGCTTCTTCACAAACCCTCGGCAGCCGAGCACGGTGCCCCTCCGCGTGGCAAAATGGGCTGCAGCAGGAACCTCAGAGCGGCAGGCTGGAATGGCAGAGACCCCCCCAGGGTGGTAAATCGAATTGTAGCACTAAGCCCCAAGCAGTGGCAGAAGCAGAAGCAGGGGAGGGTCCTGGTGGACAATGGGTGTTGGGCTAAAGTGTAGCAAAATGTCCAAAGCAGTGACAAGAAACTGCAGGGTCTGGATGGGGGATCACTCCTTGGCACAGATCACTGGTGAGGAGTGTTCGGCCAGGGTCCTGGCACAGCACACACCGGCTCTGGGCTCCCGAGTGGCAGAGGAGCAAGCCCTGGTCACAGTGCTGAAGGGAAAAAAAATTAAGAGGAAAAAAAAAGGAAAAGGTAAAAACCACAGGGCAGCAGGATCTCAGGTCAGGCCCACCATACCGTGTGGCTGCCTCGCCAATCCCCCGCTGGAAGGAAGTGCAGTCCCTTGTCCACAAGCCCCACAGCATCCCGGGCTGGCCATCACCCATCACGATATTCCTGCAGCCAGGGTAGGCAGTGACTATTCTGGACACGAAACAAAACCAAAAATGGTTATGGGATATAAAGCATCCCCAAGACACTCCCCAGCTTTTTGCATTGACTTGGAATAGTGGTTTGTATGTAAAAGCAGGAGCCAAGCTCTCCTGCTCTTAGCCTTTCTCTGCCACTGGCTCACAGTGTTAGTGTTGAGTCTTCTAGATATCTTGTTTTCAGTCTAGAAAGCAAAGATCCTGATGCCTAACACAAGAAGCCACAATATATTAACATTTTAGTGGTGCTTTCAAGTATCATAGACTATGAAAACACTGGTTTTTGAGACCTTGTACCTAATATGACTTTCCCAAGTTAATTTCAATTGAGCTTGTAGCAATTTTGTAGATGTGGGAAGGACTCAGGCTTTTGTTTCTTAAAACTATTTCTGAAGAATCCACAGCAGCCCTTACTAGGCAGGTGCATTACAAAAGTGTAAAAAGGCACTCTTCTAGTCTAAACATGTTCAGGATCAGCTCCAGGCACTGTGTCTTGCCTGCCAGAACAAAACTTTGCCAAGTTTTGTGACCTGCATTAGCTACCCAGTGATTTGTCCAGGCTGTTTGCCTACTTTTTACCCAGTTAAAAGGGTAGCTTTCCTGGAGCTGCAATGTTAAATGATAGGCTTCACCTTGGGCGTGTTGTGTAACACCACAAGGTCCTAATCAGAGATGCCCTTGTGATAGACTAGACTGAAACGTGTTTCTGCAATCCCTAATGAGGCTGCCCCAGGCCCTGCTTTATCCTTAAGCTAGTTACAAGTTGATAGTAAATGTGCATCTTGTGTAGCATAAAAAAAAGATCTTCCCCAGAGATGGAAGATCCAGGTAAGATAGACAAGAGGCTTAGATAGGAGCAGAGCTCTGATCTTGCATGCTCTCCTAGGAGGCTAGTTTGCCCTGGGGTGACTGGTAATGAGGGGCACAAACCCAACTTTTTAAGGTAGCTGGTCTCAGTGTAGTCCAGGGTCATAACTCCAAAAGACTGCTCTGTGACATCATCTGGGTCTCCAGTGTACAACCAAGGACAGTTTTGAGCTGTCTTAAGACAAAACCTATCAATCCTCTGCTGCCTGCTCTGGAAGTTGAAAGAGCTGCAGTTTCTAGAATGATCAAATCAGATCCTGCCAACCCCAATGATGAGATCCTGCACTACTGAAAAGCAGAGTTTTCATGAGAATTATTTACCCATAGGCTGTACCCTGTCTGGCCCAAGTAGTTATGCATTCTGGTGTAACATAGACAAGAAATACCATAAAATCAACCTCTTGGGGCCAGAAACCAAGTAGTTACCATGACCAGAGGCTCCCATTGCCTTCCACTGCCATGGCAGAGTATGTACTTATGGTTTTTACAAATAAAATGCCTTTTTCCCCTTCATACTCACCCATGCTATATTAGCTAGCTTTCTTCAGACTCTGCATATTGAGCATCTAAAACAGAGAAATTAAAGGAGATGAGCAATGGGTTTTGGATCAGACCTCCCAGTAATAACACTTCAAAGATTCTTCCCTTCTCTCTTGAAGCTTCAGGGAAATAAATAGCAAGGGGAGGTCCCTAGTCATTGCTGCTGCACATTAAGTCTATAGTAATTTCCCAATGGAGAGATTGCTTAGACAGTAATGGGAAGTAATAGGGGGAAACCAAGCAGGGCTTCCATAAAATCACTGGAAACAATTGGAATAATTCATTGGTATTTCAAGAAGCCAGTGAAACCTGCCTGAACAATGCATCCCAAACCAGAACAGTGAGCCAAACAGAATGCCAGTGCCCAGAGAGCAATATGCCTTGTCTGTGTGAGGCATTTCTCTGCCACCCTGTTTGACACAGCACTGGGATTGTTCCCAGTGCAGCAGTCTGAGGCAGAGAGATGGTGTTACTGTTGTGGTGAGCCCTGGTCTCTCCTCACTTCTGCATGTCTTTTCCATAGGGCTACGCTGTTATGCCAAATTCCACCGGAACCGAAGAGTGACCCGGAGGAAAGGGCGCTGTGTGGAGCCTGAATCCGCCAATGGAGAGCAGGGATCTTTCATTAATGTTTAGGAGGATGGGACTCCTGCCTCTATGGTCAGGAGCTGGGGTCAAACTGTTTATACCTAGCAATGGGAATTAGAGGGAAAAGTTGAGCAAATGATGGAAGCTGCAGGCTCTGAACATGCCAGGTCCCAGCTAGACTGAAACTCATGTTCATTATAAATAGAATGGCATGAACCTTTTCCATAGCAGGACTGCACTCCCCCTCCCTTCCCTCAGCACATTCCTGCCATTGAACTGAGTCCTCCTCTCCTAGTAAGTAAGCTATGATCATGACTCCCATTCTGATGGTCCTGGCAGGAAAAGGCTCTGCAGTTTCATCTCCTCCTCTCAAGAGAGGCAAGATGTGGAAGATCCTTCAGGGCAAAGGGGATATGAGCTTAAGCTTTGCCCCTTAATTATTGCTTGAGAATAAAGGTAGATAGATCCTCCTTAAGGACTGGGAAGTTCCTAGAAGAGAGGAAATTTGTAGCAGGTGGAAACAGATGGGAAATGGATCAGTGGGAAGCTGCCTGCTGAGGTGAGAGAGGACCCTCTGGCAGACCTCTTGCTCTCTCCCTTTTTCACTGCTCCAGACATATTCCCCAACTGTTACACACTTCCACTTCCTACCTGTCATCTTTGGGACCATCCAATCCCACTCCATCCTTCCTTCCTTTTCTGCTTACAGAGAACCACCTGGTTTCTGCAAGGATGTGGCAAGACATCCCAGCCTGTAGCTTTCACTCATTTAGCTATCCTGCCAGGTCTGTTATTTTTAATGATTATTTTTAGGAGCTTTCTGGGGAAGTGATAGTTTTCCTAGTGAGCCAAAAATAAAGTTTTTGATAACAGGAGATAGGGACAGGCTGTTCCATTGTAGTAAAACCTGTGACATGTTGCATGTGTGTTTCTGTGATATGTAAATAAAGATATAATGGATATCCTTTGTGAAACTCTTCTGCTTTTTGACTGCACCCAAGGATGTGGAGGAGCCAGAAAAGCCTATGAGGAAGTTGGTCAGCAGGTAACATTGATGACTTGAGGTAATCACACAGAACAATTGTGCCACTGGTAGAAAAATTTCTCTGCCCAAAGTTGCCTGTATTCTCAATCAAATTTCAGGTAGCTGTTTCTCCCTAGTGTAGCCACACAGATGTTTATAACTTCTTTATATTAGTACTTAATTACTGATATATTGGAGCAACAAAGGCTACCTGTGTTAACCTGGAGAGGTGGTAGCTGGTGAAGATGTTCTTTGCTACTGGTAACACCCCAATGCCCTGACTCCTGCAGGGAGGAAGCTATGAAGCTTTTTATATCCAAGAGCCTGGAGATGTATAGCACTTTCTTTAGGAGCAGAAATATTAATTGTGGTGCTGTGGGCAGAATCCTCTTTACACAGCTTCCCCAAACCCCCTGTGTTCCACCTAGTTAGTCAAACCTCCAATTTGCAATCCTGTTTACGCTGTGGTGCCACTTTGCATTGTGTATTCACTCAAAGACTGTGAACGTTACACTTTACATCTCTAATATAATGAGTGCCCAGTCATGGCCACAGAGAGATACTGTGAATAGAATGTCACTTCTGACCTGTGCACACCTGCTGAAGGAGGAATTTGTACAGGAGCTCTTAGGCAAAACCTACCACAGGGTGGGATGTAGATGTTTAGGTTTCTGTTTACAGCGTGACAGCCTTAGCACAAAAGACAGAAGTAAAGAAAGGTGGTTTGCCTTCAGCTCCATTCCACAGCAGCAAGGATTCAATTTGTTAACCCAGGGGAGGCAATGCAGCCCCTCCTTCAGTCCAGATGCAGAATAGTGGGTGGTGCTGCTAGTGCCATTGTCAGTGAAAGCATAAAAGGGAAAAAGACTCCTAATTGATCACATTCAATTGCACAGCTCTCAGCCTCTGGTCTATGTGACACTGATGAGAACCACATGCACAGGCACTATCAAAACCAGGTTTGATATCACACTGCTTTTTAGTGTAGGAGCCAAGATATGGGGAGAACAGTGCAACAGCAAGTGAGCAGGAAATTTTGCAGGTGTCTTCATCCTTGGTGATGCAGGTATTCCTTGCCTCTTACTCTACATATGGGGTCCTTGTAGGATCATGGACAGTGTTTAAGGCAAGACTGTGTTGCAAATTGTGAAATACAAGCAAGTCTGAATTTAGTCAGAGCTTTTAGACTCTAAAAGGAGACTTACTCCTTCAGTTCTTGCTTTTTCAGCCTTCAGTCTGCTATTAACTCTGAATATAAAGATTATTCTTAATTGGTGGGATTAGTTAAGGTCAGAGAAAATTCAGTTAACTATTATCAGACAAGTCAGGGATTACTGGATTGATTGCTCACATTGGAGTTTCAGAAAGACAGCCTGTGACCAAGTGTCATTCCTGACAAGTCAAGCTGTGGTGTTGCAGAGGTGGAGCAGGAAGGGTGAGCAGTGCTACAGGCACATGCTGCATAGCCACAGCAGCATGAAAAGAAGCAGCCTGAATTATGGATCAGCCAGATCAACTACTGACTTCACAATTGCAGTGCAAAGGAAAGCTGTTGAATAAATAACAAAGTGCAGAGGTGTGGAATGCAAGAGCAGCCTGTGATATAAAACCTCAGGGCAACATTTGTGTAAGTCCAACCCACTTGTGAGCACAGCAAAGCTTTTTAGTGCCACTCTGTGCTGTCTCAAAGGCATGACAGCAGCTGCAGAGCATCACCATCATGGGTTACTTTTAGCAGCTTTCCCCTTCCTTCCCAGTATCTCATAGTCATGGTGCCATCAGTGACAGTTTTGCCTTTGGGGGCATTAGGTCTGAACAAGAGAGAGATACAAATGTCAAGCAAGACCTGATTTATATGTTCTTCTCAACTGATTGTTTAAGTAACTCAAATTAAGAATTCACACAAGCTCAGTTTCTCTGCTGCCCCCAGAGAATTTAAGTCAGAGCTCTTGCAAGATTGTCTATTGTCTTGAAAGACTTTGGACCAGGCCCAAACCAGCCATAGCCCGGCTCTGTGCAATAATTTCTAAAGTTAATCACATAGCATGCATGCAAGAAAGGTGAGTGACAAAATCCCACCCAAAGTCCTGTTCTAAAGCTACTGCTGATAGTAGCCTCTGAGAGTCCAAGGGTTATACATCACTTTAAACTGCTTCTCCAAGGGTGAGAATCATTAAACATGGAAAAGAGAGAACAGCATGCTGATTTGACATAATCATTTCAGTAGCTGCCTGCTCTGCAAGTGCTGTTGAATCTCAGGGATGTTGCTGGTAGTTGCCAAAATTATGACTGCAAGAAAGGCAAGGAGTGGAAGCACAAATTAAAACACTTGGGAATCATTCTGTCTCGGGTCTGTAATAGTCTGCATTCATTTTCATGCGGAGGTGTTTTATTGAAACCCTCTCTCTTCCCTCCCTCCCCCAGTAATTACCCTGTTGTAAATCCACAGTGTGTGAAAGTGCTTCAATTTGAAACCCATGCTGTACCAAATTGTTCACATCCATGACAGTCATTCTCTGCTACATGAAGCCTGGAAAAAACATCGCTTTCATATTTTTTATCAGAAAAAAAACCCGAGGGCTGTTGTTTTCTTGGAATGTTCTGAGTGAGCATATGTGCTCCATAAAACCACTTCTGGTACGTCAGTTCATTTTCTGGAGTGTCAGTGAATCTTGAAGAGTGGTCTCTTAATGATATCTCAAAGCTTTAGTTAGATTTTAGAAAATTAGAGGAGCAGGTTGTTGCTGCTGAGATCAGGACTTCCAAGTGCATTTGTCAAGACACCACATTAATGTGACCCTCTCCACTCCCCAAATCACCTTGCCATAGTCTGTTTTGCAGTGCAATTGCAGGAGGAGGTTTTCCACCAGCATTGCAAGATGCCTTCAGTTTCCCCTCCAGTCCAGATAATGATTCTGTTTGCTGATTTCCCACTGAGATTTAAAAGGGAGTTTGTAGAGTCAGGCAACTCTCTATATGCCCTTCCTCACTACTGATTCAGAAAGGCTCTGTGGCTAATATATGTATTTGTGCTGAGCTGGTGCCTTCATTGCTCTCAACTCCATAGCCAGGGGCAAAACTCAGAGATACCAGTGTCAGCTGCAGCCTTTAGTTATCTTCAGACTAAACCCCTAGGGAGGGGAAGAAGGGCAGAACTATGAGGGGTGAGTTTGTCTCCACCTCCATGGGCCAGATAAGGACAGCAGGAGCAATTGTATTAACTCCTTCACCTCCCTGTGGAATTGCTATCACCTTATCCACCAAGGGTACAGTGTCCTGAAAATGAAAAGGAAAACATTTCTGCCTTGTTAGCCTCACTTTTATTTTATCAGAAGGGGATCCAGCTGTGTATTAGGCTTTTACTCAGTCTGCACAAGACAAACTGATAGATTTTTTGAAACAAGAGATTTTGCATAAAGCAGCTAATTGTTGGGTATTGGTTGCAGTGAACTGAACTCACCTGGAGCAGTCTTCTAGTCACAAAAATCTCTGTATCCAGTCTTCTGCGTCATCTGCTTCTCCCTGCAGGTCTTCTTTAACTTGCTGCTTATCTTCCTTGCCATGTTGTGTTGCTTTATCAAACCTGGGGAAAGGAAGAGAGTGGGTTACACAGAGAGGCAATTTACAAGGTACAAGCAGCACAAAGTAGAAATAAAAAACAAGCAATCCCCAGATCACACAGGTGTGAGAGACATAAATGCATAATGTTGGTTATAGCTCTCATTGTTTTCATATCCATGAGATCATTAAGATATTTCTATGTCCCTTGAGTCCATGATATGCAAGCCCAGGATATAATAAGCAGGGATGAATTAACTACACAATACATTGATGAACAAAATGAAGTAAAGAGCTTTTATTGTACAAGGAGAAATGCTTTGCATTAGACAGTGGACACATCAATTCAAATTATGGCTCATGCTGCATAAATGATAATGAGACTGTCTCAGGCTGAGTGAGAATGCTGAAAGGAGCAAAGACGCCCACGTGCTGCTGCATCCAAACAGTGCTTATCGTTCAGCTGGGACAGTGGAATTTGTCTTCATAACAAACAGTTCTCCTTTAATAAATACCTGTCTTGGCAGAAGGGCATCCTAGTGCACTTCACACTGAGCCAGAAAAATGACTATTCAGTCTGTCTTTCCCACCATCCCAAGTATGATATAATTTTGTCATTTACATTAAAATCCAGTCATTCCTTGACATTACTGGAACCACTAACATTGATCTCATTTGATTCCACTACTTCTGTAGACAGAGGCAGGACTTCTCTGCAAGACACAATAATGGAACTGAAGTCACAGCTCATGCGTCATGTGGCAATAGATGAGTTATATTTCAATCTTTCCTTTGAAAGTGACACATTCAGAGATTCCTGAGGGGACTTTCACAGCCTTTTTGGGTTTTTTATTGTTGTTCTGAGCTATGCAGCCAGTCAGTTTTATCCTGATGCTTTCTAGCATTTTCTAGGTAATTTCATTTTGGCACATAATGCTTTGCCTTGGGAAATCTTGAAGTGTGCTGCATACAAGCAGTCAGTAACACTCAGGACATGGTCAAGGACAGGCTGGATAGCACTACATTTGTGGCTTGTTTGAGAATGTCTGTCAGGAGATTCAGCACTGCACAATTCTCACTGTTGAACTGGAAATGAGACTGAAGAATGACTCATGCATTTCCACATCCAACTTCTGCAATGAACATCTGACCCAGCTAATTTCTTAGAGGCCCCATCTTTTTTGTAAGAAGGAATAATGACAAGAAAGGAGCTGACCTAGTAAGACATTGCAGTCTTACACTGCAGACAGCACACATTAGGCAAGGATGGGAGGGTTTGAGAAGTGTCATCCTGACCTCTGGGCTCTGTTATTTTGTTTGTCAGACTTGGGGAGAAGGCTGCTGGCATGAACTGGACAGGAAATGGTAAGTTATAGCTGAACTGTGTGGGGTTGAAGTGGTCACTTACCAACTTCTCTAGCTCTAAAATGAAACCAGCTTTCTTTCAGAACAAGAAATTAAAAACTTGTTATTTGTACCAGGTTTTTAGGCAAAGGATTCAGTCATCTAGTTCTAGGGAAAAATCCAGGGCCAAAGGAAGCAGCTAAGTACCTGCCAGCCATCCTAGTCACCTAGCTCAACCCCTAAGACTGACCTTAACTTGACTTAGCTGTTGGGTGACATGGCTGAGCACAATCAGCATCTTAAAATAACATTTTTATTGGCGTCTATCAACAGTTTCTTTGTCACTCCTCACTCTTTGGTCACAGATATATGCACAAAAACTCTCTTCCTGCAGAAAGCTCATAAGTCCTTCACAAGCAGTAGCTTTCCTGGACACTGATTACAATCAAAGTATAATGTCCAATCTTGTCTCACTACACAGCATGTGCAAGCAGCAGGAGGAGTTTGGCTGGGTGTTAGCAGCCAACAAACTGATCCGTGCGTATTTTTAACTTAGTGGCGGCTTTGGAAACAAAATCACCGAATTGTTAGGTTGGAAGGGGCCTCCCTCTGGAGATCATCTAGTCCAGCTCCCTGCAGCCAAGGCAGGGTCACCTGGAGCAGGTGACACAGGAACGTGTCTCCAGAGAGACTCCATGCCCTTCTCGGGCAGCCTGTCCCAGTGCTCCGCCACCCTCAACGTAAAGTTCTTTCTCATGTTGAGCTGGAAGTTGTGTTGTTTTATTTTATGCCCATTGTCCTGTGACTGGGTGCCACTGGGAAGAGTCTGGCACCATCCTCGTGGCACCCGCCTTGGAGGCATTACGGAGATCAGAAGCACAGCAGGCAGGCAGAGCAGCCGGACCCCGCCGGACACCCCCAGCCGCCACGGGCTCCCAGCCCCTCACGGAACCGAGCCAAGGCCCCGGCGCGTCCAGAACCGCCGGCACCGC